CAATCACATGGTCGTTATGGCCATCTTGACTTTTTTGACACATACCAACTCCATGATGGACTCACCTGCCTAAAGTCTGCCTGTTTTGAACTACTTCTTTATTCTGTGGTTGATGAATTGTTTCTTACTCTTATTTGCATTTCTCTATTCTAAGATCTGTTTGCTTATTCATATATGCAACATACAGCCTTTCTTTCTTTCCTTCAGGAGCTCACAGCAGTGGATGTAGCAGTTGCTCCCTTACCAAAGTCTGTGAGATAGGTTGGATTGAGAGAAAGCGAACAGACAAAGTCACCCCATGAGTTTTTATAACAAATGCCAGGCTGGAATCCAATCCTCTTATCACCTTAACCATTACAGCACACTGGCTTTAGATCAGTCCAGACAGTGGCAGATATTTCTTGCATAAGTCAGGAATAAAACAAGAGAAATTGGGGCTCTACAAAGAACTACTGTGATCCATGCATTTGTGTTATGCATTAAATTAAATTATTCTGTAAGAATGCTAGATGGCTAGTGGCTTAATTTATTATTTCTTTGGGTACTTACAAGGAGATTGAAGTCAATCTCTTAATCATATTTCACTTTAAAATGTAGCCATCTAGCAAATAAAAAGATGGCACATAGGTGCAAATAATTTAGCTGCAGAAAGACTTAGTTTTTGAAAGTCACTAAATTAGTTCTGATGTCAGGGGTGTTGCTTACTTCATTGTAGCCCCTTGTGACAAGTCATTATCTCTCTGTATTTACCTGCTGCTCAGAAGAAAAGAAAAATTGAAGGGATTAATTCTGTAACAAACTGACACAAACATTTGCTTTGTTTTATATATACAGTATATGAGAGGTTTTATTCTGATGCCTCACCTTGGGTAGCAAAATATCTTCAGCAGGTTCTACTGAACTTTTTCTTCCTATCACTGAGCTTCTTTAGAATCAAGATAATTGGGAAACTAAATAATTGAAGCAATGGTGGAAAAGCTGCATTTGCTCTTCTTGTTGCTACTTTTTCATTTTAAATCATCCCCATTTTGTTTTGTGGGTGATGCTGTCAAGTGTATTGAGGTCCTGGCCTGGATTTCACTGTATCTAGATGGTACCATTTTTGATTGCTGCGGTAGGAGAAACCTAGGTTTCAGTGCTTCTCTATGCAAAGATAATTCTCAGCAGTTGATGGGGCAGGTGATCAGGGATAGGATATTCTAAGCCAGGTTTCCATGTAATGCTCACTTTTTGTGCACAAATAATTATCTGAGTGGAGGAGCATTTTAATTGTGGAAAACCATGTTATAATCTGAAATTTGCATATTCAAGTTGAGAGGCTTAGTAGTGAAGCAAGCAGAAAAATATTTTAAATAAACTCATAGTTTATTTTAATTAATTCAGTTTTTCCACAATTTTTAGTCCAGGCATACCTGTAGTGTATTTCTTTAGACATTACAATACTATGCATACTTCAGTATGTCACTTTTGTTTCCTTTTTCCTTAAATATCTTCGCCATAGATGTCTGAATTTTGTTCCAAACTTTGTATGGACAATTATAAGTTTGGATTCTACTTTACTGTAATTTTAGGAACTGCAAAATATTGTTTGAGAGGCAAAGATCATTTTTGAATATAGTACCATATTTTTTTAAATATTTCTCCAGTTCATTTGGTGCTGTGCATGCAGTGGTGGGCCCATCCTCCGAGCTAGAAAATGATCCTCAAAAATAATTTTCCAATTAGAAGGGACCTTTTTTTAAAAAAGAAAAGCTTTTCATAAGCTTAAGAGCAGAACACGGGACAATAAATACAGGACCTATATAAAAAGTAATAGTGGCTAGTGTAATTGAAGCATGTTTAAAGAAACCAAAGGTTTGGGGTGTGGTTTTTTTTTTTTAAAGATTAAACTGATTACGGTTCACTACAGGGAAGTTTATAAAGAGAGACCAGTTTTAAGAGTTTTCACAATTCTGAATTTCTGAAGAAGGGAGGGATAATTTTCTTCCAATCTTTAAAATATGGGATTAATTGAGGACAGTGACTTTCTAGGAAAGGCTTGGGAGGAAATGTAGAATTGGGTTTACAAAAATAACCCTCTCACCTCCTTCAGTCCTGGGGCACGTGAGCAGAAAGAAACCAGATTTGCCTTTGGTCTTCCAACTCCAAAACATCTTTGCTTAATTTTTTTTTTTTTGTTATTCCGTGCATGTTTTTGATAATGTGACTTATGAGAATATATATTCTCTCTCTCAATATATATATACATATATCTTTTGTGCACGCATACACATGTGTGTTTGTGTGCCTGTGTGCCTGTGTGTAATTATATCTATAGGTATAAAAATTATATGGCGTTTCATGCCTGATTATGGTTAATAGCCATTGAGGAAAAGAGAGCTTTGCCTGCAAGGGCATGTAAGAACCTCATCAAGTTAATGTTATTAAACAGCACGCGGTTTTGCCATTGTGGTTGGTGGAAGTGTGTTTTATTTCTGTTGGGAAGTTCCTCCAAATGGATTTTGCAATATGATAGGTTCCTGTCTGCCAAGTGTCATGGTCTGAACAGATAAAGCATACCTTCTCCATTCAAAAGTAGCCTTCACAGTTAGTATCTGGCAAACATTTCAATGGAAGAATATGCAAATATTGCTGTAAATGTAGAGTCGTTACTGAAAATTGCAGCTGTGAATCAAGTCCTTCTCTTCCTCCATAAAGCCTATAGCGGGTGATTTCAATTTTTTCCAGAGCAAGAAATGTAACTTGAGCTCCTGATTAGAATACAAAGCTCCGGTGATGGAAAAATTGGATGCATTTGACTTAGCTTCTCTTTTTATCCCAAGTTTCTCATTTCATCATATTTTCAAGGATTCCATGGAACAGTTTGAAAAACTTGGATCTAGACCATGGGTGTCAAACTCATGGCGTCACGTTGTCGTCACGTGACGTTTTGTGACTTTTTTTCCCTTCACGGGGCTGGAGTGGGCCCTGGCCTGCACTTGACGCATTCGGCCTATGGGCCACCTATTTGATACCCCTGATCTAGACTGTAGGGCTTACTTCACATCTTGATTAACACAGCACCTCCATTAAATGTTCTGACCAAGATAACAGATCTATAATTCAATGCATCTGCTGTGCACTGGCTTAGTAAAAGCTACTATAACCTGTGATAAATTTTACTACTTTTTAATGGAGGGAGTCGGAGGAAATAGAAATATAGCTGCCATTTGTAGCAGTATTTATAGAGATGTCTGTTTTAATCCTTTCAGTGTAACTCTGCATTAGTTACAAAGAGTTGAATGAGTGTCCTTAGCCAAGTGAGTGTTTTTAAAACATGGTTAAGACTTAATATTTGTCATTTAATTTTAAATATACTGGTGTCAGTGTAAAAAGAAAAAACAGCTTCCCTCCCCCACCCCATTTTCCTCAGATTCTACCTAATACAAATGAAATATAGAGCATGTCTACTCCACAGAAAGAAAGGGGCTGAAGGAAAAAAACAAGCAGTGGGCAATCTCTCCTGTGCCTATGTATAGAAGAAAAAGATTGGAGAGAAAGGGAT